ATCTCTTGAACCGTGCCAGACTCAGCATACTTGTAAACTTGCAAATCTTTATAAGCCTTGAGCTGTAATCCAATGTAAAAACTACGGCTTTAAATTGAGTAATTCACCAAATACGTCGTGATGTTGGGGAACTTATGAATATCACGCCGCAATGACCAAGGGGGATCAAACAAGGGTCAAAAACTTCAGTTTGTTTATCGTATCTGTTCCTCGTATCTCCACTAAGCCTTGGATAGTATGCACTTCAAGACAGTTATACTTACCACCCCTGTTTATAAATATATGTAATATTCAAGTTCATTTTCACTTGCTCCGCCTATGTCTGCGGCTTCTAGAATTTCCTTCATTATAACAATTAAGCGTAAATGATCAACAGCAACCAAAATACAATTGAAAAGGTAAAACATACAAATACACCAACGTAAAATGATTAATAATAAATTGTGTAAGGTTAGGTTATCCAAAAATCTAACCTACAAACGTTTCAAAACAATCAAAATGTTTCGTACTTACCAGTTCGACTGTTGCAAAGGGGGCCCTGACGACTTGCGAGAACACTTCCGGACCACATTCAATAACGCGACACGTCGGACAGTGGCGGAGCTCCGGTTGTGCCGCATTGGCCCCTACGTTTACTACAACAGTGAAATTATGGACGATTTTGGTGTTCTAATGCGTTTGATTCGGTCCAAATGGTGTTCTGTGCAAGAAGTAGTTCTGTTGAGTGACAGTGGCTCGTCGGGCGAAGCCCTGGCGGCAAGGACGTTCATAAACGTGGCATTTGATGCGATTGTGCAGTGCCTGAGCGGCCTGGAGGAAAACCACCGGCAACCGGTCCAAGAAAAGCTGCTGAAATGCCTGCGGGTGTTTATGAAGTGCGTCGTGTCCGCCGCAGCGCTCAACGAGGGCGTTGTCTATAATATAAAAACGTCCCGGCAGGAAACCTGCAGGTTTTTTATATACTTCCACACCCTCCTAGACTTGTACTACTATGTAACCATCCTGTACTATCTGTGCGGGCCAACGGCCGAAATCATCGAAGAAATTCTCGAAACCGTCCTGAAGAACCTGCTGGTGATATTCAAAGTGAAACATGAGTCCAAACAAACTGCCTGTAGCTGCGTGGAAAACTTCTGGCTAATTATGCAGCTAATAGCCGAGAAAACTGAGCCAGCCAGGCCGTTATTTTGGAACACTTTTAACCGAGTGCTGCTGCAGGAGAATCCAGTGGTGGCCCTCAGTTTCCTAAAGGAGCTGGCCCACGTCCATAGATTCGACTGCCAATTCCAAGACGTAGGCGCTAGAAGTGAGCGAATTGTGCCGAACTACAAGTTTCTCGAAACCAAGTTTAAAGAGCTGCTCAGCAGCAGCAACTGCGAGTCGCTCCTGACCAGTTTGAGGACAATCGAGCCCCTAATCTGCGACTTGTGGCTCAAGGAAGGCAAAATCGAGATACTGCAGATGATCTGGGATTTCTACAGTAAACGACTGAACGTGTCCCAAAACAGCTCGGGTCAGGACGCATCGGCGCTTAGTATAGTTGAAGCTATAGACAACGTGATGTTTTGTCCCAAGAATTCGAGTGAGGACTTTGAGATGTTCGTTGGAATCTTGGTGTTTTACTTGAAAGAATATCCCACGCATTGGGGAAAGATCAAGGGGCGCATCTACTCGGGGCTGGGCCCAAATAAGATTAAAGATCTAACAGAGACAGGGATTAGGCATGTGATGATGCTGTTCTTGGGACTCAGTTCGATTTACTTTGAAGAAATCGAGAAGAAAATGCTGGCTTTTTTGGCCAACTTACCCAAAGGGAAGAAGTATACTGTACCTGTATGGAACATGTATGCTGCCATAGTAAGTGCTTTTTCAATTCACTATTCCTCGTTTGTACCAGCAAAGAATGACTGGGTTTTAATTTTCTTTTCTAGGTACTGAAATACGTGCGGGAGAGCCGCTCGGTTGAAAAACTGGCGCCCGCAATATCGGAAATGCTTCAACAAGCTGCCGCCAGCCAGAAAACGTTTCACCTCATTAAGAACTTCTTGGAAAACCTAGAATCCATCATAAACCACAGCGCAAACATGCAACTGCACCAATGGCTACTGTTTGGGAACTGGCTAGGGCAATATCAAGCTGTATGCTATTTTCCCGATCTAACTTATTCCCTGAATGTGATTTTGCGGCTCTTGGACAAATGCAGCAACGCCGACTCCTGGGGGTGTTGGGAGGAGTTCTTCAAAAACACGCTCTACCCCAATTTGAAACAATTAGCTGCCGCCGCTAACTCGCCGGCCGTAATCGGCAAAATAGCCGGAAAACTAGCCCTAAGTTACAACAACATTGCATCGGAGGCGTTTGCCTATTTCACCAGCGAAACTGTGTCGCCTAAAGTGGCCTCAATGTTTTTGGAAGTGGTATTAGATAGCTACCCTGATAGTCTAATCTTAACGTCCCAACAAGAGCAGATTCTTCTTCAAAGTTGGACAAACATCTGCTTTTTAACGGCCGAGCCGCAGTGCGAACTCACCAAAATGATTATCAAGTTGGACATATTCCCTCCAGCGCTAAAGGAGCGCTTGAAAACAGCCGATGATCCAATGGGGAGTTTTCTGGAATACGTTGGCGGAAACTCGGCGGACTGTTTTAAACTCACCGAAGTGGCCTTGGTTAATCTAGCGAAAACTCTCGGCCAGTACTTGGCTAATCCTGATAGTGAACAAACAGTACTTGGAATCTACAAGTACGCATCCTTAGCTTTTTTAAGTTGCGGCAGTTTGATCTACAATCGCAACAAACCGGTTACAATCCTAACAAAGCTCGTACACATTTTGCTGTTCCCTAATGACTTTATGTTGGGTAAAAGGGCGCTGCACAATTTCGTTTTAAGCGCTGTTCGGAAGCATTGGACAGTGTTTTTCGATGCTTTCGTCAAGTTAAATGGTACCTCCGATCCCTATTTGGAGCGCACCTTGCGAGATATGGTGATCAAATATCTGCCCTATTTTCCCAGTACGGATTCGCCTGTAGTTGATTGTCTGAAGAACGAAAAGCTCAGTCAGGTGATTTTGGAGAAAATTAGCCAATCGTACTTTAAGCTCCCCATCAAGGAATCGGACGCCAATTTACTGAAGGCGCTAAAAATCGTCTCCGATGTTGCTTCAACAACCGGCTCGCTGCCATTGTTTCAACGAATCGTACGCGAAACGCTCTACGGACTGTTTGAAGTCGTTATATTTCATTCGCAGAGAAGTAGCGCCATCGCCGTTATTAAACACATCACGAATTCACCGCTGTTTATACATGTGCGGCCTCAATTCAAGCAAACTGTGATAGAAATAACCGACAAAAACATTGCCTTAAACACAATAAATTACTTCCAGCTCATGAGCTGTTTGTCCAAGTTCGTCCCTCGCGACATACGGGAAGTGCTGGAGACCATCAAAAGCCATGTGGGAAATGTGGAAAGGCTCAGAGGCATTAGCTACGATAGGACTTTAAGGTTGCACTTAGAGAAACTAGAACAGTCTTTACAGTACAGTTAGGACATCGGATTGTTAATATAGTGTATTTTTCTAGTCAGTGTTTCTATCTGCGGATACCCGCAGAAGAACGCCACCCCTAAACTAGCTTAACTAATGCTTACTCTTTTTGCTTTCTGGTTCCTCATCGCTATCGTCTTGCGACGTGGACGCCAGCAGAACTTTGGGTTGAGTTTTCGCGTAAGCAGGCGCAATCCAGTACGGGTTTTCCTCCGCCTCTTTGGCGTATTTCAGGATAGCTTCTCTTGGATCCTGATCGTCGTCCACCCGTTTGCTCAAGCCAAGATTGCGAATTACGTAACTGCTCAAAGTGCCCCCGCTTGAAGCCACTCTACCCCCTAAGACACCGACCGTTATTCGCATCAAACAAGCCTCTTTTGAGCGTAAGATTTACCTTGTCCTGATGTGATGGGCAAGTCGGGCCGCTTCGATTTCACAGGGTCTAATCGGTCTTTTTCCATCTGTTTCCTGCTAGTTTTCCGGCGCTCTTGCCTGAACAGCGGCAAAGCATGGGGTGTGATCACTTGCTGGCTGCTGACCACTTCGGAATGTTGCGCCTTTCTATGGGTCTGAAAGGGTCAATAGAATTAATCAATCGCAAGTGCTTAGCGATGAGAAGAATCGAGTTATCCGGCTCAAGAAAGCGCCGATATTTTCGTTTCGTATTAATCAGTTCAATAGTAAAGATCCTACCTTGACCACACATAAGGTAACGCCTCGCAAGCTGCGGTTTTCATCGTAGAAGCACTTAACATTGCCATCCCCAGTTCCAACGAATATCTGATTCAGTTTCGAATGCCAGTTGATTTTAATTGCGTGCGAAGCGCTCACTGGCACCGTCTTCAGAAGATTGAACGTGGCGGTGTCGTAAAAGTTGATATTGCCAGTTTTTTCGCCTAAAACCGCATGAAATACTGGGTTATGTAGAAAAAATACAGTCTTCTGTTATCTATGAAACTAGAAAAATGATCGTCGTTTTATGCAAGGGTGGCGTAAGATAATTGCAAAATTTCATGTTTTCCATCCCGTTTTGCATGTTTCTCGGAAGCAAAATGAGCAACAACGCTCGCTTTTACATCATTCCAAAGAGAACTAAATGGCTTTTAGATAGAGAACAGAGAATTGAAAAGTCGATTCACACGTTAATGAGGAAATTCGAGCAGTTTTTAGCCAGAAAGCGAAATTTGAATATCACACACTTAGGTGCAAGATTATGCCAAAATTCCATGTTTCCCGTCCCGTTTTTGCTCATATCTCGGAGGCAAAATGCACAAGAACG